TGTTACTCTGGGTATAACTTATAGTACCGCATCTGCGGGAGCTAAAATTTTATTAAATATTTATTCAACGTAACGAAAGCTTCTTCAGGCAGCTTTTGCAGGTCTTGGATTGGAACAATTTGATTACGATACTGTAGTATCGGGAATGCTTTACCAGAAAAAGGAAAGTAGTGGGACCTGGGATATCGGGTATAATTTTCAGCAAGCTCAACTTATGTAATTCAATGCTTATCTTGTTCACTACGACGAAGTAATCGTTTCTCTGTCCAGTTGTTTAAATGCCCATCAATGATTTATTTCTTTATACATACTTGCCAGATGTTGTAATATTACTTTTTTCACAAAAGCTTTAAAATTTTCATTTTTTCTGATGAATCAAAGATTTAAGTAGGATTGGAATGATTTATTTTGGTAAGATATCCGATATCAAAATGAAGTAAGGGAAAGCCGCGATTTTGTTAATGAGATGCAAAAACGCATATGGACGAGAGATTGCCTCAAACGTATTTAAATCCTTCGCGTATTTGCTTGTCTCACATGCAATAGCCAGAAGGGAAAACTGAAAAATTCTTGTAGAGAAATAGTATTTAGAAATCAGACAAGATAGGCTGAAATTCGAAGCCGACATTTTTTTTCTATGTACAGCCTAGAAATTTCAAATTCAGCTAGCGCGTTAATACTAATTCAGCTTTAATGCGCGTCTAGAATTCTCTTGAACACAGACGAAACATAAATTGGGATAACTGTTAGGATCCTAATAACTTGAAATTCAGGGTAAGCAGGAAGTTGTATCTTTTATGAGAATTTTTGCTGTCCGTATGCACACCCACAAGTACGAAAGGAGTTCTCGCGTACATGTATGTTTTGTCTCAAGTATTCATTCTGCAAAGTCTCAGCATGAGAAGTCAGGCACGTTAATAAACTATAATTTTGCGGGACTCGGAATGAAACACTATGACTTAATCGATGGTTCTTCCTCCCGAAAAAGGAAGAAAAGATCAACAAGATCATTTCCAATATGAGTGCACATTTCAAACAGTGAAGCAGTGAACTTTCTCACAGTTAATAACATACCGATACATAAAATTGCTTAAAAACGAATGGTCCTGTCGTCAATGCAAACGATGCAAGCAGTTTTGATCTTGAACAAAGTTTAGCTTCCAAGTAACTCTGCTTCTAGAAGTTCTTTATACTAAAACATTGGCTTCTCAGGATGTTTTGCTGACCACATACTTTTCCAGGAATGTAATTTTCAATCCTTATGCTTATTTTGGCCGTCCTGACATGTGGCCCCGCGGATATCCATTAACGCAGTTGCGAGTAAAATTCATTTCTGCTATTTTATCTCTTTGAACTACACACTTAAGATAGTTCTTTACACTTTATGTGCTGCGAAAAGCAAAGCTGCCTGTTTTAATCCCATTGTTGGCATTTTGAGCGGTAGGGGATCCGCCATTTGCAAAAAAGAAGAAAGCAAAGTGGGGGATAAGATCGAAGGAAGAATCGAAGGAAGAAAGGAGTCGAAGAAAGAAATCGAAAGAAGAAAGGGCCGAAGGAACAATCGTTCCACAAATTCGAAATTTACTGAAAAACATTTAGTCGCCCAAGGTTCATCCAGAAAACAAGGTGACATTCAAATTTAAGACGTAGCAAAATAGGGTCTGCAGCTTAGTAACAAGCTAGTTTACTGCTTCCGGGCCGAGTGTCATGAGGTATAAAATGATAAATATGTGCTCCATAAACGGCTGCGATAAAAAATTTTTTCTCGGTATTTTTACCCTTTGAAGGATTCAGAAAAATAAGGCCTTATTTGGCAATGCTTCAGATCTCCAACCAAATGTACAGTCACAAGCTGTGCAAAGCAGTTCGCAGGCCTTTGGTGCAACAAGGCCTGGTGGCCAAGGATCCAGATGTCGATGCTATCTATCGATTGATCAACGCTGATCGAATCGATGGGCTCAATGTACAATTCGATCGCCATGCACCACCGATTTTTTTGAAACCAGGCAAATTTTACAGATTGAGCATAAAATACCAACATGCGGAAACAAGAACAGCAGTACGTTTTTATGATAAAACCGTAACGAACAAAAATTTTTCCCTTAGTTTCTTTTGACTTATTTTCAGATGGTAGAAATAAATAAAACAAATTTTAATTCACAGTCTAGTTCTTCTGCTATGCAGCTGGCAAGTTTTCTGGTTGTTCTGATTAATTCTTCACCATCTGCTGGTCAGATTTGCTGATTTTTCTGTTTCCTGTAGAAATTACCAACTCAACGGTTCACCCCATAAAAACGCTGTGAATCTTACTTTCAGCATGTTGACAATGGTTATCACATGTCCGAGAAACATAGAGATGTGTTTTTTTTTCAGAAATCTAAATTCTTGAAGAAAGCATATATTTTTTCCAAAAGCATATATCTCTATATACACATTTTCTGTATATGCGTATACTGAAAGCGATTAGATAAAAGGCAGCGCACAAGCATTTCA